ATGTAAGCATTTATAACCAGGAAAGTGCTCTAAGAGCTGCATTAATCTGATGTGTAATACAGTGTATGATGCTGGACGATGGTTAAAGATGAGCTCTTTCAAACTGCACCTGAAGATGCAGCCTACAGTCCAACATTTCTATTAGGCACTATGCAGGAAGACAGATGCAGTCCAATGTGGGGGTGTATTGATGTAGTTGTCCATAAGTAATGCAATGAAGGCCATGACTCCATTAGTACTCCCTTCCTGCACAGCCCCATCCTACCACTCCCAGTGGAAAAAGACGGTCAGGCAGATAAGCAGGCAGATACAGAAAAAATAGAAAATTTTACAGACAGGGAGGCAGAAAAAAGAGGGGGATGAAAATGTCAAAGGTTGCAGCGTAAGCCGACCCACTGGCGCGCCGGGACTTCTATGTTGAGGCGGATACATTGCAGGGAAACTGGAGATGGTTAGGAATGATGGCCGAGACGACAAGGAGAAATCTGGGGTAAAGTGTCACATGTTTGGGAAGTGAGAGAACATCTACAGCTCTGGTGGAGAAAAGATGAATGGTACAATGGCCAGAAATAGTAGAGGGAATGTAGTGCAAGATGAGCTGCGACCACAGGGGTAGTTAGTTCTCAATGAGCATGTTGTCACATTCACACAGGGGAAGTGATGAATCATAACACATTTGTTTAGATAGGGCAGAGCAGATAAAATAGTTGTTCACCAGAACATAAAAACTGAAGAAATCCCAGTAATTTAGATTCAGAGATGTGGATACATTCAGATAGAAAGAGGCTATTTTTCTCCAATACCACACTGGAAACAGGCAGTATTTTTAGACCTGCGAGTATGATCCTCATATCACGTGTTTCTTTGTCGTTTTCTGTTTTTTCTCACCTATGCTGGAGCTGTTTTAGCTGCAGCAGACATCCTGTCAACATTATGCTTTAATGAAATCTCTATTTTAGTATCTTTCCATTTTCTGTTAGAGAATCTTCGCATGCTGGCCTGCACTGCAAAAACAAATCTAATCATGCCTCACCTAATTCAGTCAAAACCAAAATGCTAAAGCTAAAGAATATTTTAATTGGAGTTTCTTTTAAAAAAATACTTGGTTCAAATTCAAGACGTGACAATGTGAATTTAAAGGTGTTGCTGAACAATTTTCTGAAGAAAATGTGAACATCTCTCGCATGGTCACCAATGCCTGATGAGACCATCTTTTCTTAAAAAGAGAAGAAAAGATTTTGAATTGCAACAATGGAGGACATTGAGCCAAAAATGCACACCTCTTTACGCTGAGAGTGGGTAAACTGTACACAGTCAACGACAGCAAGTACGGTTTTGGTGAACCTCCTCTCATCTGCAGCTTGCCCAGACGCAGTGGTTTGCAAATATATTCACACCCCTGAGAGTTTTTCACGTTTTGTCTCTTTATAACCATAAAATATGAGCATATTATTTTGTAATTTTATGTCAATGACCAATACAAAGGAATTGCACTGATCCTTTGTATTGGAATGGCAGAATACAGTTGATTTTAGCGATCCCCTGAAACAATGTCTCTCTTTCTCAATGTCACATGCTGTTTTTATTTTTATTTTAATTTAATTATGTAAAGCACTTTGAAATGCCTTGCTGCTGAAATGTGCTATACAAATAAAATTTGATTGATTGATTGATTGATTGATTGATTGATTGATTGATTGATTGATTGATTGATTGATTGATTGATTGATTGATTGATTGAATACTATTTGCTGTAATTACATGTAGAGGTTTTTGAGGGCATGTGTCCACCAGGTTTGAATTTCTGGAGAACTACATTTTTGAATTTTGTTTCTCTGGCTGTGTATTTAGGGTAAATGTCAGGAAGGTGAACTTTCACCCCAGTTTCAAGTCTCTAGCACAGGGGTGGGAAACTCTAGGCCTAGAGGGCCGGTGCCCTGCAACTTTTAGATGGATCTCTAATTCAACACACCCGAATTAGAGTCGAAGAATGAGGTCATTAGCAGGAGTCTGTAGAACTTGACTGCTCTTAGGAGGTGATTCAGCTATTTCATTGAAGTGTGTTGGACCAGGGAGACATCCAAGAGTTGCAGGACACCGGCCCTCGAGGACCGGGATAGCCCACCCCTGCGTTACCTACATAGCTAGTGGGAAACTACAAATGGGAAGCATACAACTAATAAGTATTCTATTGGTAGACTCTCCCACACGAGTTGTGAATCTCCGCTGCTCCTCCAGAGTTACCAGATCAGACAGTTTAGGTGATCCGTCATGCCTGGGCAGATGTGCAGTTGTGTAATGCTCTTTATATTTCTGACCAATTTCCTGCCACATTGCAATATGCTATTTTCTGTTAGTTCAACACATACGACACATTAAAGTTTGACCATTATGTGGTCATGCGACCACCACATATGGTGGTTGTATACAGTTCTTTTAATGCATGTAATCTGTCCACATATTAAGCCCAGTTTTCATGCTCTAATGAAACATAGCATCAGCTGCCAAAATTGGATTTTCACCTGAAAAGAATCAAATTCCTCAAGACTCTACTGTCCCAAATAAAATCTGCAGGCAAACCGGGTAATATCAACACAATCTAAATCATGCAAAGGAGGAAATCCCAAATAAAAGTTAATAGAGGGAGAACAAATTTATCTGTATGTAAGATAGAGAGAAAAAAGACTAATTTGATCTTAGTGTTTTTGATTAACCTAAGATTTCTAGAAAGTTATCTAAATATTTCACTACATGTTCCTATATGTTACATGGTTACATGGCAGACTCAGCTTATGACCTACTTTATTCCAAGCATCACCATTCCAAGCTGCAAACCAAGATGTTTTACTGTTTTGACATTTTTACTTTGTTTGACTCCTTTAATGTATTCAACCTCCAGAGATGCTCTTCTACTTTACATCAACGTAAAAAAGCAACTTTGGATAAAGGATTTCATATGTTGAGTTAGTTTCTTTTACTAAGAAAGAAATAAGAACTAAATGCCCCAGTTGCCGCCTCCCAGGTGTTCACCAGAACACCTGTCTGGGTAGAGATGACTATGCTTTTTCCTTTCTGATATTGCAATCCATCAATGTGTCCGATCTCAAGAACCCCACCCTGTAATGAGAGCCAAAAATGTGTGTCTGTGTGTGTAGCACTAGAGTCCATTACTGAAATCATATTAGCTTCAGAGAGTGCACTGAGGGAGGAAGCAAACCTTCACCATCTCTCCTGGCTCACATTCACCAGCCAAACATGCAGATTACACAATCACGAGTGGATGAGAACTAGACATGGTCCAATAGAATCTTTCTGTACCCCAACCCTTGGGGAGAATTACATTTTTACTGGACTTACAAATGTGCAAACAAAAACATGCACTTACCGGCCATTCTATTAGGTATGCCTGTTCAAATGATTGACATAGCAACTCAGCCAATCTCACGGCAGCAGATCAAGTGTCTGAAGGAGGTGAAGACAACTTGCTGAAGTTCAAACTGAGCAAGGGCTCATATAAACCGGATAATAACAGATTGGAAAAATGTTGACTGGACAGATTACACTTGGTTTCAGCTGCAACATTCAGATGTTGCAACAAGCGGGTGTAAACACCAAGAGAAAATGGATGCATCATCCTTTGGTCAATGTTTCTGACTGGTGGTTTTAGTGGATAGTATTGGTAAGGTTTTCTTGGCACACTTTGCTTTCATTTGTGCCATAATAATTGATGCCTAATGGAAAGATCTCCATTTAAGTTATTTTTTGACTGAAATCTGACCTTTACTATAAATGAATGTATGAATCCATTACTTGCTAACCTATGACATGGGTTTTTGTTTTGACAATGATCATTAAACATTCAGCAAAAGCAAAGCTGTTCAGTTCTTGAGCCGACACGTTTATCCATACGGTAGTTTTGATTTGGGAAATATGGTTGATTGACCAGGGAAGAAAACCTTGGGTTCAGCTGAGGACTTTTTATGAAGGCATTTTTTTTCTGGTTAAAATGTTATCTTTCAGTTTTTTTTCCCAAAACCAAACAAGTTATCTATTGTTTATTTACATGTCCTGCTGGTGGGGAGTAGTGTCGCCCACCAGTATTCTGTACAATGTAAGCATTGAAAGAAAATGACTGTACACCAGCTTCTGATTTGGTGCTTCAGTAAAGCACTATTACACTTCTTATAAAGCAATTGGGGTTACATCAGATCAACTATGGCACTAAATCTGAAATACTTAGACTGATTGTTTTACACTGCACAAATAGCATGAAAAATGCAATTTGAGCTTTATGAAACTTTTATTCTATTTGCAAAACCAATTGGTATTTTCAGAGCTTTTTTGCATTACGACCACCTTGGATTTCTGGCTGGGGCGTAGAAGGTGCCCCTTCTGGCAGCGAGCAAGAACCACCCTTGGGCAAACACACAGAAATATACACACAAATAATGTACCATGCCGAAACAGACTGAGCATCCCAACAAGGACAGAGGGCAACATGTAAACAAAAATTGTATAAAATTATTCCTGGTCAGTCCCCAGATAGGATTAACCTGGAATATGCTTTATGAAGACAAAAAAGTAAATAACCCAAATTCTGACTATCCGGATAAGTGACAAGTGTGAGATAACTATATATTTACAGTAAAGCCACGGTTTGAACACAATTAAACAAAGCTAATTTAAAAAAAAAAGACTTTTGCAGATGATTATTTCCACGGCTTTAAACTACAGCCTATTTTAATTTGTTTAAACATCACTTAAGCAGCTCAATTTAAGTATTTTGTGAAAACAAATTACGTTTTCTACAAATAAAGAAATCTGACGTTTTATTAGCAGCTAATTACATGTAGCAAAGTGAGTTCGAGGATGATCATGGTGTTTTCTCACACGGCAACGCCTTGGAGAGCCCTGCCTAAGCGCAGAGCATCAGCAGGGATGTTTACACGGCTGACTGGGCCGGTCAGTGCGGAGAGAGCAGACTACAGACAGACACCCACCTGCCGTATGCGGTTCTGGTGCAGCGGCAGTGGAGGTCCACCCTCCGGGGACGTGTTGCTCGAGGAGGCCCGTTTGGAGTCTCGGTCGGAGCCGCAGCCGCCGCCCCCGGAGCGACTTCCTTCAGGGCTGCTTGACATTCCGTCTTGGGCTGACTGCCAGTAAAAAAAAATATCGGTGCGGTCAGTGAGGGTCTTTATGCCGGTGCAAGGTGGATGTGTGCGGGCCTCAGCATGCACGGAGCTCGGCGGGGCCCCGCGTCATTCTGCGTCGTCAGTGAGAGTCTGTGATGACAAAATGTGAAGAAAAAAAAAACAAACAAATGAAGCGATTGCTCTAGACTGAGAGCAAGGAGAGCGCTCTCTCTGCGCAGGGATGCTCCCGGTGTGCAGCTGGAGTCTGCGCATGTACGTGTGTGCGCGCGGGAACGCGCTTCCTTCTGATGCGCTTTCCCGAAACTCCGCAGGATCCGTGCTGCCTTCCAAGACAATCGGACATTTCATTAACGCCCTTCGATTGACAAGGAACCTGGAATTTTTATGTAGTTAACTTTCTTCTATTTGGCCTATTTGCTTGAAACTAATGTTTGTACACAAATTAGAGCTTTGTATATCGTAAAAAATTGGATTTATAATAATAATAAATCATTAACAGCTGCTTAAATTGAGCAAGATGGCATCCTTATTTTAGCGTGTGTTTGTATTTTCTCTATTCAGGTGTTATACGTGCACTTACTGTGCAGTGAAGTTTGTAATTGTACGAGTTCACTTTTCAAACTGTAACTGGAGTTGGACTTGCTTAGCCTGTGCCATCTTAGCATCTTTCAACCTCCAACTGGGCCTGGAATTCTTCACTAAACTACATATTTAATGAAGGTTGACAAGATCAATACCAAGATCTTGAAAGCATAGGAAAAAAAAGCGCCTTCAAGGGGGCATGAAGTCATTTAAAACGATCATGATAAGAAAATCTTTAAAGTGGAGTTGGTACATAAAATCTAATAGCGAGAATTTTATTTAATCTTTTAGTTCTTAATGGATAGATCTGATGTGTAAAGCAAAAAAGCAAAAAAATGTTGAAAATGGTTGTAACAACTTCATCTTTCCGTTTTTAAGTTAACTAGAATTTAGTATGCCATAACTCGTGGGTCATTTCATGTTTAATTTATAAAGTTTTTGAGAATATTAAACTGAAAACCGCACAATTATAAACAATATCCTTTGTAACAAGCTTGTTTTCAGATATTTTCCATTAAACAATGAACTTGCAGTCTAGTTTTTATTAAAACCTTTTCTTTACTGCAGCCATAAATAGTTTTATTCAATCGTGGTGGATTGTGAAGTTGGGCTACATGAGGAACCCTCGATTTTTCCACTTGGAACTTCAACTTTTAAATATTTCTTTTTGAACAGAACATTTCATAATAAAGCATAAAAATGTACTGATGTACCAGTGATTGGTTGCGTTCTACAAAATGTGATTTTTTTTTTTCTAGCCCAATAAATGCATGAAAACTCAACTGCCACTTTTGGTGGTAAAAGGTATGTTTTCATGCATAGATTGAGAACAAACTTACTTGAATTCAAAATCACTACAGTAAAATCAGCCGCACATTTGTTCTTTTATGGGTGAAGTTTATTATTGCTGTTTGAAATAAAGTTTAAAATTTTGACAGTCTGTGCACCAAAGCAAAAAGTAAACCCATTAACATAATACTGATTGCTGTAAAGAACAGGGAGATCTGTTGAGATTATGGGACACTATGGCATCTGCAGTCAGTAATTTTATGGCAGATATCATGATGCTCATTTTAGCTGTAGCCACTGACAACACTGTCTTCCGTTTCTATTACAATGTATTAAAATAAAATTTCCCTACCCAACATAGACCAATTAGATGAAGTATTCACCAAGCGAGCACCAAGAGACAACATCTAAAAATATAAAGACTTTATTACACATGTAAATTTAACAATATATCACTGAAATGATTCCATAAACGACAGCAGCAAGAGAATCACTAAAAAGCATTAACCATGACAAACACCAGTAATCAAATGTACATGGCAGGAAAGCTTATAAGAACCAGAATGAGAACTTCTAATGGACTGCTGAGTCTTTTATTTTATTGTGCAGAGAGTTGGTCCAAGTTGTCATGGCTGCGACTGCTCAGATGGCTCTCCAAAATTTCCCCAAACAAATTCCTTTTCAGCAAGCTGTAGGCCATTGGTAGAAGTTGCTTGACAACCTTATGAAAGTACTGGAGGAAAAAAGATGAACAAGATTAACAATTGTTTGCACTCCAGGTGTAAAGACTTAGTGGAATTCAAGTATTATCTTGTGTCAGAGACATTTTTTTTCCTATAATGTTACATGAGGTTAACAATTATCTAAACTGTAAGTGAATTATTACTCCAAGGTTGTAATGGGGTTGCTGTTCTTCAACTCACATGCGATCCATAACAAAAAAGGTCAATTCCAAGTTCGTAGCCCATTCCATAGTCGCATTCGTCATTAGCAAACTGAACAAATGTCATCATCTCCTGGATCGGTCCAAAGGCTTTGACACGTTCCTCATCATTCCGAGCTTCTGCAATGGCTTTACAGATTTTCTTGAGACCAGCTAGTAGAAAGATGTGTAAAGAAATACATTTAAAAGTTCACATAAAAAGAATATATCAAAGAAAAAATTTTTTTTAAAAAAAGGTTACCATCTGTTTCTGGTAGTTCTCTGTATCCTACATCATTCTTGTCCACAGGCACAACAATACCAGCACCATGAAAGGTCTTGGTAACAACCTGCAGTATTACAGAGAAGGAGGAGATTAATATCTGAGCTCTATTTTAAAGCAAGCTATGTGAAGGTTGTACACATATTGCTTTTGAAGATTGGAAATAACTATCATTTATTGTTGTGATACTTATTTCCTTACAAGAATTATGAATGAAGGAAAATGACAAACACAAATGAATAAGTGAAAAGAAGCACAGGTAAGGTTTGGAAAGTTTGGAGTAATGAGCCAAAGGAAAAAGAAGAGATGAAAAGGGAAGGAATGAACGAGATCTCAAAGAATGGATAAGAAAAGGTTGATGGATGCAGTACTTAGACAGGAAAAAAGTTTGGAAAAAATAGTCTTCCATACTTTTTAAGACTATGAAGGAACCTGGTTTGAGAATCACCTTTCTGTCCCGCTGCTTCATGCTTTTGGTCTTCTGCTCTAAAGAAAAGCCTAACGTCTCAGCCTGGTCTCTCAGCTTCGACTCCAGGCTTTCCAAAGCCTCTTCTTCTGCTCTTTTACCATTTCTCTCTTTCTTCTTCCTCAGCAAATGCAGGCTAAAGAAGAGATGCAAGAAAAGTATTTCAAAGACAGAATTAAATATGAAAAAGAAACGGTATGAAATCACATTTTTTTCCACAGCTGATTATATGGAGAATAATGTGGTTTACTTACTAAACAGCTGCAAAGATGTTATCTCCCATTTGTGTTATGTTGCAGCCCTTCTTGGCATGATTTTCCCCAACAAACGAAGGCAGAGTGTCTGGGCTATCTCTGATGTTTTGACAGTTGAACAATTAAAATAACTACAACTTATTCTGCTCATAGGTCCAACTTCAGCCAACATATTAATTTCTGCAAAGCTACAAGACTTTATTATGTATATATGCATGTATTATGATACCTGTAGTATCCCATGTGATGCTGGGAATCCTCACTCCCTTTGAGAATTGTCTGAAACTCTGGCGGGTCATAAAAATATCTCCAATGCAGATGAAAGTTGGGCTGAGGATTCTTGGGATTTCTGTTAGCTCCTGCCAGAATGTCGAAAGGGCCGACCAGCTGCAGACCCAGCGTGTCTTTCACGGCACCTAATCGAAAGTGTGTTGAGACAATCAGCGTAAGATCACAGACAGAGAAGCTAAAATAATTTCTAGTTCTGACATTTTTTCAATTTAGACTTGCATACAACATCATACTGATTTCCTCCCCCCTCAAAAAAATATGCTCAGGAATTAGCCTCTTTTCAGATCTTTGTTACGGTTTCAATTGTTTGTTGAGCCTTTCAGCTGATTGCGAGGAGTAAAGAACAGATCTAGATCATGGATTGAAAATATGGGCTGAACAGGGGTCTTTAAAATTATTTTGCTTCTACGTAGTCCAAGTCAGGAGTGTCAAACCCATTTTTGTTTTGGGCCAAATTAATATCATGAATGCTCTTAAAGGGTCAGTTGTTGATTTTGTGTGAATTTCAACAACAATTCTCAAGAAACTGGAAGAACTGATTGATGTAATTTGGCATTAAACAGATAAAAACTGCATTGATTTGATGAATAACATGATATTTAAGCACATTTAATGTTTAGTCTAGAATCAAGACAGCCACATAAAAAGCTATGGCGGGCCAGATTTAGCCCGTGGGCCTTGAGTGGTCTAAGTCAACATAAAATAATGATAGCTATGATAGTACAGCAGTACTATTAGTTCCAAAAACCCTGGAGAGAACAACAGGGCCTCTGACAACATCCAGAGACAACGGAGAAGCAAAACAATGGTTTAGCACAAGTATAAACTATTGCATTTAATCACTGCATATACCACAGGGGTTGTCAGGACTGAGCTCCTTGCAGAAGTCCCAGAAGTGGTAGAGATCCTCTGGCATGTGAAAACCATACAGCTGAGCCAACTCATCACGTTGCTCTGCACCGACTCTTGATGAAAGCATAGCTTTAGGTTCATCAGCTCGGGCTTTCTTCACCTGTCCATTGGCTGAGCACGACTCCTAATGAAGAAGCAGAGAAATCCACAATGACATACGTTCAGTTAAATTAGTTGGATGTGTTTTGTTGCTGTATGGCGTCCAGAACTTTTGAAAACTTTTTCACACTTCAACCACAACATCCAATGAACTTTGGAGGGTTTTTTAGGCAACAGATCAACTTACAGTAGGACAAAATTGGAAAGTTGTTGAAAAAAGCTTGATGACTCTCTCCTTTTACAAAACAAAGAAAATAGAGGTGTGCATTTGAAGAATCTGAAATCAGTTTTTCTTAATATCGGTATTTTTTCCAAAATTGGAAAAATATTTACCAATTAGATTGTTTTTTGTCATTTGTGAATGTTTAGAGTGTAGTGGACTATAGAAGGCTGGCGGTCCTTTTCATTGTGAGCCTCTGCGAGCCCACACATAACCTACTGAACAGGGGTTATTTTGCACATTCTGCCATCTGCACTGTGTTAGGAGTAAACACCTGGTTGGTCTGCATCGTTTCTCTACCTCCAGCCGTCAAAGGCCATTCTAATAATCAGCCTGAATTACATACAAGGTGGACTCTGCTTACTAATTAGGTGACGTTCAAAGACAGCGGGACTCACCGGATTTTAATAAGTATCAACACGAACGTGTTCTATACGTAAAACCACTCATTATTTCCTTCCACTTTATTATTACTTGCCACTTTGGTTCGTCGTTCACACACAAAAAAATCTAACAAAATACCAGACACTACAGTTTTAACTCTGTAGCCTCTCTCTGTGCTCAGAGTAGTAAACTGTGATATACCCGATATGTGAACTTCTTAGGAAGAGTTGAGGGAAGCCTATGAACACGTATTAATTCAATTATGTAAAAGTTTTAGCTCGTAACAGACCATTTGTAGTCTTTGATAAACAACATTAACCATGGAAACATCCCC